TTCCTCCCAAGACAAAGCATCCCCCCAACTCTGCCAAAGTGTCAGCAGAAAGAACAACAAGCCACAAACTTGGCCAGTGACAACTTTTGCCATGAGCTGCTCACAGCTGACCGAGCTTGGAACCAGAGACAAATCCAGTCTTCAAGGCTCCTCCACGCTCTCATCTGCCTGCTACAAACTGTCACAACTGGTCTCACAAGTATCTGCAGTCGGAATGAAATCCATTTCACCCACACTTCTCTCCGTGCCACTATCCCAGTCTTTCAAATCCCCACCTATGAACTTCCATCAGCTGAGAATGAGACTGCTCCAAATTAAGCCCAAAACCTGGCCCAGAGGTTTTTGCATGTTTGGTCATCTATAGTTGTGCCTTGGACTTTTGGAAGTCAAAAGAAGTTCATTTCTACAGTTCCATTTGATTTTTCTGGCTGATAACAGTGGAAAGGAAGAACGAAATGTCGGTTCTGGCTGAAGGAAACCATCACCCACCAGTTCTACAATGCTGGCAATCACAGCTAGGCACAAAGGATCACCAGCAGGCCAGAAACAGTAGCTTTCCTCCAAGGAAAGGCAAGGCTGGAAAGAGAAGTGGCTTATGTATGAATGATCCTGGGAAGTTGGAGGGAGACGGAAGCAAAAGGGAATAAGCAACAGGGATTCCAGTAAGCACTGTACAAACACAAACCACCCAGCCCTCAAAACACACCTTTATGAATCATTAATCCATACAACTGACAGAGCAGAGGAGGTAGGAAACACTCATAACACAGTAAATTTCAACCCAGAGATCAAAGTATAGGAATTGTGCCTATCCCGGGTTCTCCCTCCTGGCTTCTGCAGTTCTAGGCAAACATCTTCCTAGTTTACATCTCCTTGTGCTGTTTGTGCATCCTTGTGATGAGGGAAGCACACCAGGAATACCAACTACAGTCAGGGTCATCCTGAGACACTGAGGGCATCAGCTCAAGAGGTTAAGGCTGTCTGTAGTGAGTACAGACGAGTGACAGGAGCAATGTCACCCCAAACACTTTGTCCTCTCCAAAGAGACCACTGAGCACCTGGTGATCAGGAGTGACTGCTACCACGAGCTCAGAGGCACCAGTGCTGGACCAGAACTGCCTGTGCCAGGACACTGTGGATCACCACCACACTCAGAACTCAAAGAGATGGAGCAGTTTTCCTTAAAAGCCTCTGTTTTGCACTTAGGCTCTGAAACTGCTGTGCAAATAGGAAGTAGATCCAAGTGCCAGGCACTTGCCTTGGCTCACCCAAGGCCTGAGGCTGGACAACTGCTGACTCCCAGTTCCTATTTGGTCTGGGAAACCTCCTGATATGCTTTTTTTAAAAGAAAACTTAGAATAAAACTCACAATACTATATAGAAGTAAAAAGTCTTCACAGCCTAAACAAAATCAGCCAGAATGCCAGAGCTGCCAAGGGTGGGATATTAAACCACCACTTTCTTCAAGCATTTGGCTCACCATTTCTTTCCTCCCTTGCTAACACAACTGCTCTTACCACTCGGGTATCCCCACGACACCCCTTAGCAAGCAACAGAAACACAATTGTTGATGTACTGGTGTTGTTCCCCATCCCTGGGCTCTGAGGCACTTGGTGCAACCACACTCTGATGCTCACTGATGTCTGGGAAATCCTGGTTTATTTTTCCCAGGAGCGCATCCACGTGCCACACTGAAATACATCTCCCAAAGCTTCACTTCGAAGTGTCAAGATTGTCTTAGTTTAGGGGAAAATCTCCACATTTAGTGCTTAATGTCAGTGCTATCCTCCTGCTGTGGGTCAGGGCACAGAGTGGATCTCCAGCTGTTCAGTCTCACCCCACCTCTGCAGACTCTGTCTCCAGTGCTCTCTGCACAGCCTCTGCCTCAACCCCTGCACATCTCGGATCTTCCCTTCTCAACCCAGACTAAAGCACATCTCTTTTGCTTCTTGCCTGTACATTAACAGTGCAGAGACAGGAGATCAACGTGCTGATGTCAGTGTCACCAGCACTGACAAAATGCCCACATGCCTTTGACTAAGAAATCTGTCAGCTTAATGTTCATCTCTTCCTAGCTCTGTGTGACTCCACAGTTTGCCAAAGCAACAAAACTCTAATAAACTGCACTCAGAATAACAGGAGCAAGTGCTTTTCTATAAAAAGACTAAAAGGAACTGGAATCAAGTCTCATACACACCTCACATCTTCAAAGAGCTAATTAAAACTGGAATTTAAACACAAATAGTTTAAAATATTTTCTATTACATTCTTACAAAATGCTAAACAAAAGTAGCGCCTCAAAAGAAGGAAGTGATTAAGAACCTATTCTTAAAATAATTATTATTTTTAGTTCCCATGGGAGCAAAACACAAGTCCAGCTTGAGGTCAGAAGCGAAAGGACTTCAGCCTCAGTGGAGAGGAATCAGCATGAAGCTGACAACAATATTTACAACACTATTCCAAATTCCAAAGTCAATGGAAAGTCAATTACTTGGGACAACTCTGTGACTGAGAGCAGCTGCTGAACTGAAACACCTCCCCAGAGTTTAAAGCAGCAGAACAGCAAGAACAACTGAACAGCCCCACTGGCTGCTGCAGCTGCAGGACACCACACCAGAGACCACCACACAGGGCTCTGGGGTGCATCCTGCAGGGCCTGCTGCTGCCACAAGCTCAGCCCATGGAAGCAATGCTGGAAGAATAGGTGACTTCCCTATTTTCATCCCTCTCACACACACAGATCACATCAAAACCAGCTGCTGGGTAACGTGCACTGCATTCCAGCAGCTCAGCTCAGTCTCCCATGAAGAAACCTCCACTCCTGAGACCAAATGTCCTCAAGTGATTTGATCACAGCAAACCACCAAAAAAAGCCACAGCTCAACAGCTAAGAGAGCTGGAACTGCCCCTGGACACAGCAGCCCCAACACCAAGAGTCCCAGGGCTGTCAGGAGAGAAGCTGCAGATGCCCAGGGCTGCCCCTTCCATATGCTGCAGCCTTCACCAACCAGTCCTGGATACACTGAGAGAGGCTGGAGCCCATTCCCAGGTGGTTTTACATACATTTTACCAGCTCAGGAGCTACCTCAGGCGGCTGAGATCCAAACAGGCAGACAGGTAACACTGCACTGATCTGTCAGAGCAGCAAAACTCACTCCATTTCTAAAACTCCAGTGCAAAAGCTGTTTTAAAAACAATTCCAAACCGTCAAACATCACAAAATTTGCAGCAAAATACAAGAAACAGAGAGTGTGACTGTGTGAGAGTGTGACCTGATTGTCTGCAACACATCTGATTTCTAAACTGTCCTTCAATCAGCTGAAATGTAATTAGGGAGAAGGTGTGTGTTACAACAGGACAAAACAACTTTTACCCTGGCAATGTCCATTTAAAAGCAAAGTTTTGCCTCTGAGAATCTCATCATTTTCTTCTATGTTAATGCCACCCAAGAGGATATTTTAGCCACGTTTTGACTCAGAAGGGACAAGGCAAACGGGTGACCTTCCTTCTCACCAGGCACAGGGCACACAGGATGCCACGCACAGCTGTTGAACTGACCAAACTGAAACCAGCAGCTCTTCACAGCACCAAAGAAACCTTCCTTGATAAACTCAATGAAAAACTCCTCTTGACATCTGCAGAAGCATGACCAACTCTGATAGCAGATGACACATAACAGAGGAATCCCCTGCTCTCCTCCCTTCATCAGAGGATTTTAAGACAGACTTCAGTCAGCACAAAATCACATGACACAAACGTCCTCCGGATTTGGGCAGAAAAAGACATTTATTTGTGTGCAAACCCAGAAGTTTGGGGGGTTTTCACTACTAATAAGCATGAAGAAACACCAGCACTTCATGAGCTAATTCCCACAGAGAGCACTGAAGGTGCAGAGAAGACAAACTCCACCCAAAGCCAGCCAGACTCAGGCTGCTCTTCACTTAACGGGGGTCTGACTGCATGTTGCTCAGATGGAAACTGTATGCTACAGCACGGTAGAACTTAGGGGTTTATACAAGTCAAAGGCTTCATTAAGCTCTTTCTGATTCAACTTGCATTTCCCTGATTTTTATTTCCCTCAGAAACACAACAGCATCACAACTTTACGCTTACATCCTTTTCTCACAAGGCAATGGGAAGACTGCTGTAAAACACCAGCCTGAAAAAATCCCCTTTTCTCACTCAGAAACATTTCAGTTCATTCTCCACACACCACGACAAGGAAAGTCTGCTGAGCAGGGAATTTCAGCTGGCAGGTGACCCTGGGATTGCAGTGAACCAAACGCTGCAGACAGTAAGAAATCTTTCAAACACCCTGTGAGGGATGAAATGCAGGACCTTAGGAAGGAGACAGGAATTACAGGACTGTGGTTAGGTGTGTGCGTGGCAGCACAAGTGGGACATGGATTTTTCTGACCTAGCCCTGTGCTCTGCACGTAAACCCCTCATTTCCAGCCTCTCATCTTTCACTCACTGGGATATGCAGGAACAAGCAGAAACCTCTGGCTCCAGCTGGCCCAGGAGCTGTTATTTTTCCTTTTGCACTCAGAGAGCACCTGGCCAAGATCTATTGAACATGGAATTTAAACACAAACCTCCAAGCCTCGTGGTTTAGATTCCACAGCTCAGACCCTGCTGCCCAAATCTGTATTGCCAGCAAGCACAGCAGATACCCTGGAAAGCAGCTCCTGCAGACCTGCAGGAATCACTTCTACACTGGAGCACTGAGGTAGTAAACAAATGATTTTGTTTTCAAATCTTAATTTTGCAATTCAGTTTTACAGGAATCAGCTATGGAAACATATTGTTTTCCTGTTTAGGTAACAGATTCCCACTGCCCTTGTGCTAAAACACTTCTTTTTTGGCTTGTCAACTTCTGTCTCCAAAGCCACTTCCTCTGTGCCTCCTCCTCCCCACCCCCAATTCCTTCCTGTGCATGAGCTCACAACCTGT